CTTCTCCCTCTCTCTTCTTCTCCTAGCTTCTCTCTCCTTCTCCTAGCTTCTCCCTCTTTCCATTCCAGGCAGGGAGGCACTCAAGCTGCTAGCTTACTTCCTCAGCCGCAGCACCAGCAAGTACGTGACCTCCTCCCTCTCCCTCTCCCTCTCTCTCCTTCTCCTAACTTCTCTCTCCTTCTCCTAGCTTCTCCCTCTCCCCAGGCAGGGAGGCACTCAAGCTGCTAGCTTACTTCCTCAGCCGCAGCACCAGCAAGTATGTGACCTCCTCCCTCTCCCTCTCCCTCTCTCTCCTTCTCCTAGCTTCTCCCTCTCTCTTCTTCTCCTCCCTCTCCCCAGGCAGGGAGGCATACAAGCTGCTAGCTTGCTTCCTCAACTGCAGCACCAGCAAGTACGTGACCTCCTCCCTCTCCCACCCTCTTCTTCTCCTAGCTTCTCCCTCTCTCTTCTTCTCCTAGCTCCTCCCTCTCCCTCTCCTCCCCCTCTCCCCAGGCACGGAGACATACAAGCTGCTAGCTTACTTCCTCAACCGCAGCACCAGCAAGTATGTGACCTCCTCCCTCTCCCACCCTCTTCTTCTCTTAGCTTCTCCCTCTCTCTTCTTCTCCTAGTTTCTCTCTCTCTCTCTCGTCCTCCCTCTCCCCAGGCACGGAGACATACAAGCTGCTAGCTTACTTCCTCAGCCACAGCACCAGGAAGTACGTGACCTCCTCCCTCTCTCTCCTTCTCCTAGCTTCTCCCTCTCCCCAGGCAGGGAGGCATACAGGCACTCAAGCTGCTAGCTTACTTCCTCAGCCGCAGCACCAGCAAGTACGTGACCTCCTCCCTCTCCCACCCTCTCCCATGTATGTCCTCTCTCAATGTATATCACATGTGTGCGTGTGCCTGCCTGCATGTATTGCGTATGCACACAACATACAGCAAACACCCGCATAAAAGAACCCGTGATTTTAAGAACCTCCAGGCTGAAATTGGACCAATAAAGCACCTATTGTATAAGAACCTCTTCAGCCTGATGAATTAAACAGGTTCTTATATAAAAAAAAATGCCGAAAATTAGAGCAAACTGGGGCAATCCAAGTATGTGATGTGTGCTACACCATTGGAAACCAACAACATGTAGTTCCAGATAATATTAATACCTCCTCACAGGAGGATTGGATTTTCCAGGGG